GATAATTTTTAGAAAAAATTAGTAAAACATCCCTCTGCAATTTTTGATAATAGGAGAGGTCCAATATATTTTTTTCTTGTTAGTTAAGGTCTCTCAATAATATTATTAGAAAAATTTCAACCTGTCACAGAAAAATTTGTTCTCTGTGAAAAGCTAGAATTTCTTTATGAAAACAAATTTCTCTATGCCGAAATTTCTCTATGAAAATGTTGAGGAATCTCAACTACTATGAAAATGTTACATGTCTTTTATCTTATAAAATCTCAATATCATGAACCTTAAACTAAAAACCCATAATTTTTACCACAAAATAACATTGCGCACAACAAATATTTCTATCTTTTCTCACAGAAAATTCATACATTTCTTATGATGTGTATATATCATATATAACAAATATTATTGTATCATAACAACCACGATGGATATATTAACACCCAATTAGTGTCAGATTTTATCAATTGATAAGCTTTGTGATACTTGTTATCTTATTTAATGGCGCTGCTAGCATTGATGTTCAACTGTGAACATTTGTGTTAGTTGTGACCGGTCATTGTTGGACTCAAAAGAATATAATATTCATTTTTAAAAGACCAACCCAAAGCAATAGCATATTACTGTTGCTGACAATGTAGTGGAGTGGGACAACTATACTTTTTGTATTATTTATACTTTTGGTTTAGGAGCTTTTACGCTAAAATTGTTTTTGAGGCTATTTTAGCCCCAAATCTAGGTTCCCAAACACCCCCATATGATTACTGAGTTATCAAAAACAATATTTTAAGTTTCAAAAATATTTTAGAACATAATATTTTAAGAAGTTATGGTGTGCACTTGTAAAATGTGCATGTTGTATACACGTTATCACAATATACATAACATAATCACAATAACTTGTAAGTGTCTAACATTTACACTACATCGTTCACAATATACTTATAATAGTTCATAATTTTCACTTCCACTTTCACTTTGATGTTCATATCATAAATTTAATATTGATAATTTTTAGAAAAAATTAGTAAAACATCCCTCTGCAATTTTTGATAATAGGAGAGGTCCAATATATTTTTTTCTTATTAGTTAAAGTCTCTCAATAATATTATTAGAAAAATTTCAACCTGTCACAGAAAAATTTGTTCTCTGTGAAGAGCTAGAATTTCTCTGTGCCAAAATTTCTCTATGAAAATGTTGAGGAATCTCAACTACTATGAAAATGTTACATGTCTTTTATCTTATAAAATCTCAATATCATGGACCTTAAACTAAAAACCCATAATTTTTACCACAAAATAACATTGCGCACAACAAATATTTCTATCTTTTCTCACAAAAAATTCATACATTTCTTATGATGTGTATATATCATATATAACAGATATTATTGTATCATAACAACCACAATGGATATATTAACACCCAATTAGTGTCAGATTTTATCAATTGGTAAGCTTTGTGATACTTGTTATCTTATTTAATGGCGCTGCTAGCATTGATGTTCAACTGTGAACATTTGTGTTAGTTGTGACCGGTCATTGTTGGACTCAAAAGAATATAATATTCATTTTTAAAAAACCAACCCAAAGCAATATCATATTACCATTGCTGACAATGTAGTGGCGTAGGACAACTATACTTTTTGTATTATTTATCTATTTTATCTATTATTTATATATACATAATTTTTTTTTTTAATGCACATCCTAATATAGCTATTGCACCACCCCTCAATTTCTACATTAATAAATTTTTAATACACATTTTTAGATTTCATTTTTATTACTTTTTATCCTATAATTTATTTTAAAGCAATTTTAATTACAGATGCCCTTATAAAAAGTTGTTAACGAGAATAATTAAAAATATGAGAATTAAACGAAAGAGGACCACTTAAGAGAAGATGATGGGAGTTGGAGTGGTTATTGGACTAGATAATAAAAATTCTGTCCTATAAATAGTTCTGTCCTATACTTTTTTGAACAATCCTATACATAATTATGTCCTATTAATAGCTCTATCCTATAAATATTGGGACTACTTAATAAAAATTCATATCTATTTTATGCAAAACTGATATGGATCAAAAACATTTAATGAATATGGGTGGGAGTGTTTATTGAGTGCAAATTTGAAAAACCATTTATGGTAAGGGCTTTTCAGTGACTTGCATCAATTGCAATGGATTTGATTAATGAGCTAACAAAATACATTTTTTTGATTGGTGGATATTGGTGAGATTTATGAGATCAATACACTTTCATCTAAAAATTATTATTTTATTTATATTTTTCATGAAAATAATTCATAATATTTCCCATTAGAAATGTTTGTTAAATTTTTACATAATTTTTCATAACATAACTATTATAGTTTGTAACTTTCATTTTAGAAAGCTCTTAAATTTTATCACAACCATAGATTTTAGGCTAAATCATTTTGGGAAAAAAATGTAAAAGAAAAAAAATTATAATTTTAGATGAAAATAAAATATTTAAAAATTATAAATGATATTTGCATAATTTCGAAAAGACGACGGGTGGGAGGTGAATGGATTAAAAAAAATAATAATAATAAAAAGATAAAATAAAACAAAAATGTATAAAAGGGTATTTCAGCCCCATTAGATAAAAAATATATTATTTAATACAATGCATTTATAATCTTTGTTTCTTTCTAGGATAGTAGGGGTACCTACTCATTTGTTGCATTCTTAACAAGTACCCTAAGGACACTTGTTAAGAAAATCTATCATAAAATGTGTTATGTTCATATACATAAAAAAATAAAAAATAAATAAAAAAATTGTGTAAACAAATTTATTTTCATTTTGACAATAAATCTATGAAGTTATAACTTGTACAAAACTCAGGTTACCTAGTTATATTTCATTATAAAGTATCATTTAGAATTCACTATTTAAGAGTATTATGTAAAGTGCATTTTTGGTTCTTACTTTTGGACTTAATTTTCTCTTTAGTGATTTTTAAAATGAAAAATATCAAAAAACTTTTTAAGTTTTTAGATTCAGCTCGACAAGACGAAGTGGAAGATTATAATTTTCTTAAAAAAGTCTAAAAAAACATCCAAAAAAGACCAAAATAAACGACCTTTTTTTTGCTTATTTTCAAATTTAGTATTTTTAAAAAAATCTTTAAAAAAAATCCAAAAAATACCAAAATAAGCTAAAATAAACAATCTTTTTTGGCTTATTTTCAACTTTGGTATTTTCTTTTTGGAATTTTTCAAAAAAAATATATATTTTTTAGATTCATCTCAACAAGACAGACCAAAAAAGTAAAAAAATTTGATATAATTTTGACAAAAAGAAATTACTTAAGACAAAAAAATTCGAAAACATTGGTGTTTTTTTTGCCCAAAATTAGCTACAAATTATTCCAATTGAATGGAGACTTTAACTGTGTGAACATGGTAAATTTAGCTATGCATATGAAGTTAGAGCGAGGCTAAGGCTACCCAGGTTGGGATTGGTTTTGCTGTAGTTAACAGTCAGTGGTGCTATTGGTGTTGTCGATGATGTGTCCCAATAAAGACTTGCCACATGACAACAATGGAGAGGTTGTAGAGAGTTTGATCAGCTGTTGACAGTCCATCTTTTAAAGTGGCAAAGGTTTTTAAAGAATTTCACCCTAATTAAACAAAATTTAATCAAGAAAATACAAAAGGTGGGGGAGTGATAACTCATATAAAATATCTTGGTTCATGAAAGGGAATGACGCAAGGCTTCACTCGAGTTGTCTTATTTCTTTTACTATTGGGAAATCAACCAAGGACTCGATGGGGTCTAAGGAAATAGCCAAAGATCCTGCACTTTGTCAAAAACTAGCCAGTCTGGCTTGGGTAGAGTCGAATCTAAGCGTTGGCTGGGTAAGCATCCTGTAGTAAGAGTAGTTATGAACGCTGTAGACTATTCCAAAGGGGGTAGTGAAGGGAGGGCCCCAATTGGTAGAAAAAAAACCCACAACTCAAGCCAAAAAATTCTACAATTCTATTAAAATGCTTCATAAATTTATTTTCTGTTTTGGAAAAGAACCAACCTCCTACTACTCTACTATGTCAAAGTCAACATTAGGGCAATTGCATGTGATTTCTAATTTATCAAATAAAACCAAAACAAAGCAATCAATACATGATTAAAAATAATTTAATCAAACTATGCACGCATAGTGTTTGCACCCATTTTTGCTTGGTCTTGTCGACAAGTGGACCAGTCGGAGTGTGACGTGTGGCAGAGACAAGCGAGGGTTCAACGGTTTAAGGGGGTAAGTAATTTGAGAGAGGTTGAGAATGTGCATTAAACAGTGCAAATGATGGAACAATTTTTAGCTAAGTCGTGGGCTTAGTGGGTGACTTGCAGAGAGAGGAATGTGCAAGGTAGGAGTTTTTGTCTATCAATGGAAGGTCCAAAGGACTGAGAGGTATGTGGCAACTTGGAGGGGCAGCAGTTCAACAAGAGGAAGTGAAGGATTGGAGAGGTTTGAAAGCCTTGAAGTCAGGAAGCAGTTGCAGCAGTTAAGCAATGGCAGTTACAAGGCTCAAGGAGGTCATGCGGTCATGGGCCAGGAAAGAAGGGAGAGGATATAAAGGCCAGAGATTTGAAGAAAGAGGAATCAAGAACAACACAACAGCTTAGTTCTTAGACTTGGGAGTAGTTCAAACTGTAATTTAGGAGTAGTTCTTTGTAATCAGTACTTCGTAATTGGGTGAACTTTGGTGATTTCAATCAGAAATTACTGTTGTATGTCTAATTTACTTTGTTACCATCAGTTGATATAAAAGTCTATTCTTCTTGTTTACTTTGTTACCATCAGATGATCCAAAAAAGTCCTCATTCTCTTGAGGCATTCGAACCAATACCACAATTGCTTGATTACTCCTGTTTTAATTGTTTAGTTTAAGGTTATTGCTTGGTGACTGTCGATCGAGACCTAGCATAATTTTTACTAACACATAGGCAGCAAAATAAGCAAGAACTGAAGTACCTTCTGAGTAGGCAAGAGATGACCAAATAAGTGGCTGCAATGGTGGTTGATGGAAGTGTCATTATCACTCCCTTTAGCTACCAGAAAAAATAAATACATTATCTAAATAACCAAGGATAAACAAACCAATCTCGACACAAATTATACTCGGTAAACAGCAAGTACAACTAATATGACAGTATGGCAGCAGTCCTGAATGCAAAATAGCATAATATGATGAAATTAAACTATACAACCAGTCAAATATTTATGCAAATGCAATTATAAATAACAGTAAGCAAATTGGGAATTATATTATTAACTAATATACCAACCAGTCATCTTGATTTTCATTTTTTTTAAATAAAGCAAAAAAATAAGATTTTCAATGAACATTCCAAGTAACTTCAATAACTATTATAGACTTCCAGTAGCAACACACATGACGGCTACCACCCTTTTTTCTTGTTTGCTTCTGAAACTGTAACATTAAATAAAAATAAATGAAACAACAACAACAACAATAAAAAAGAACAAAACAAAGTTATAAGCCTCAATTCAAAGACCTGCATTCCACATAAATTGAACCCATTCAAAGCTATTAAAGACAAATAAATTTCATCTTCAAATTAATAGTTATTTATAGCAAGCAAGTCTTCCCTTCTCTTGTAATAGAGACCCTAATAGGCAGACTTCAACGTTATGATAACATCAAAGAACAAACTTCAATTAAACATAGGTCAGGAGACAACCCAGAGCATAAATGGCTGAAACACCATTGTCCCATATTTGAACAAAACAAAAAGAACAAACCAAATTCACAACTCAAAAGGCTTTTCTTTATTTGTTGTTCTATCGGTCATGAAAAATTTCTAAATAATCTTACCAATGGGGTCAGGGAATACTTTCGCTTCAGCTTGAAAAGCATGTGCAGAAGCCTTTAGATCCCTTTTACTCTTTTGATCATGGATATACACATGTAGCCTGTTAATATCCAAATCCCCAACATGTTGTGCGAAATATTAGAGGAAAATTGAAACTTTATAAATAAATAAATCTCAGCACAACAAAAAATAACAGAGCATACACATTCTTTAAACATAGATAAGCTAAGATAAAGGAAATGTGTAGAAAACTACTTAAAATATGCTAAATCAAGCCCTTCTCTTCTGCATCATGCAAAATATGTTAACTCAACTCTGAAATAAATATTGCATTCATATCATACCAAAAGAAAAGAAACCCTAAGTCAAGCAAAACTAGCAATGGAAGAGCAGAATAAATAAGAGCCAAAGAAGCAACCATCCACAAAATCAAATCATGACCAAATTTATCTATTAATACATTAAATCATGCAGACAGAGCTTCACTTCAAATTTATTTTTAAAATCAATCGAAAATGAACTACATACATACCAGTTTGCAATCGAGATCAAATGCATCTAGGGTTTCGTCGTCGTAGCAGGGGGTTGGACTCGTGATCGAATAGGTTGTTTAAGTTGGGTTGGGGATGGATGACGGTAGAGAGTTAAATCAGGGCTCCGAAATAGAACAGAATTGGAGAGAGAATACTTTCTCAAAATGTTAGGGCTGAAGAAAGGGTCTGGGGATTTGTCACAAAAATTAAGAGGGAATTTTCATTCCTACGAAAATTCGGGTGCTTGTCCCAAATTTTTGGAGAACATTATTTTGGCGGTATAGGTAATAATTAACGAGTTTTTTATTAAATATTATTAAAATTTTAAAAATTTTAGCCAAGGGTCCGAGAACAAACACCCGAATGGAGTTTAGCCACAGTTTAAAATTTAAAAAAAATTTGGAACAAACACCCAATTTTTAGCAACAGTTTAAAAAATTTTGGAGTTGGTTGCAGAGACAAGGGTACGAGAACAGCAACAAGTCCTCAATCCAGAATCTCAGAGAGAGATAGAGACTGTTTGTTTGTAAATGTGAGCAGAGGACCGAATCGGGAGCCGGAGACTGTCGACGATGATTTCGACGACATCGGTGAACTTACAGGCGACGAGGACAACCAAATCTGGACAAGGATATCTTTAACAGATCAAGATCGCTCAGATCTGCCTTCGAGAAAGATAGAGGAGAGAGAGACGGCAGAAGCTGCGGAGTGGCGGTGGCAACAGCGCACTGCGGAGGAGGGCGGCTGGAGTTCTGCCGGTGGAGAGAGAGCGTTAGAGTTTGAAGAGGGTGTGTCTGTGTGTGTAAGAGAGAGAGAGAAATGTGATGGATTTGAGAATCTCATCACTGTATATGACATATATATTTTGATCATATCACTGTGGCTTGGTTTGGGAAGTAGGTTGGCTTTTTAGCTTTTTGGTTTTTTTGGCTATTTTAGCCTGGGCTAAAAAGGTTGGTTTGGGAAGGACTTTTTGACTTTTTGACTTTTTTGACTTTTTTTGTGAGAGAAGAATGTAATGATTATAGGTTGGATGTGATGTTTTGTTTGTTATGGCTAAAATAGCCTATTTTGTTTTTTGTGGTTAAAATAGCCAAAAAAGCCTGAAAACTAACTTGCCAAACAGAGGCTGTATATGACATATATGTAGTTATTTTGATCATTTTGTTTAATTTTTTTAATTATTTTAATTTGAGTTAAAAAGTTTAATTTGAGAAGAATTTTTTGGTTTTTTTAATTTTTTTTGTGAGAAAAAAGTGTAATGATTATGAGTTGGATGTGATGTTTTGTTTATTGTGACTAAATAATCTATTTTGTCTTTTGTGACTATTTTAACTCCAAAACCACTTACCAAACACCACCTAAATTTGTCATTCTGAACAAGTAGATGACATATGTGTAGGTATTTTGATCATTTTGTCTAATGGATTGTTTGGAAATTCTAAATAAGTATATTTTTTTATTTTTTAATGAGAGGTGTTGATATATATATACGTTTTAAAAGTAATAATTTGGTGGTAAAATTTTTATATGAAAATTAAGAAATTTTTCTTGTTATTCTATGCCCTTGTCGGATATGGGTTAACTTTTTGAATTTTTAATTTTTTTTAATCTGTGGTTAAAAAGTGTCGTTTGTGATAGATTTTTTCAATTTTTTGACTTTTATAAGATAAAAAAATAAAATAATTATAAATTAAATATGATATTTTATTTTATTTAATTAAAATAATCAATTTTATTTTATACGACTATTTTAGTCTGATTGAGGTGTTGATATATATATACGTTTTAAAAGTAATAATTTGGTGGTAAAATTTTTATATGAAAATTAAGAAATTTTTCTTGTTATTCTATGCCCTTGTCGGATATGGGTTAACTTTTTGAATTTTTAATTTTTTTTAATCTGTGGTTAAAAAGTGTCGTTTGTGATAGATTTTTTCAATTTTTTGACTTTTATAAGATAAAAAAATAAAATAATTATAAATTAAATATGATATTTTATTTTATTTAATTAAAATAATCAATTTTATTTTTTACGACTATTTTAGTCTGAGTAATATCCCAAACAAAACCTATATTTGATCTATCTCTTTTCACACCACTATGGCCGGCTACCCCGTTCCCACAACTCCCTTGCAAACCTTCAAGCACGGAAGGCATGCCTACACACCACTCCATTTATGTGGATATTTATATATAACAAAAAAAAATTATAAATAAACTTCTTAAAATTTATTTCAAATACAGATTATGTCCCGTAATTTGAAAAATTATAAATATCTCATTGTTAGAATTTTTTATTTAATAAAATTAAGTGAAAAATAAAATTCTAAAGTGTTTTTCTATACAATAATAAAATTAGTTGAATTACTAATCGAAATAAATTTTGAATATTATTAAAAATTATTAATTAACTTAATAATTGATTAATAAAAATAATTATTTGTTATAAAATTAAAATTTTCAAAAAACAAGATATAATTTTTAAAATAATATGAGACAATTTATGTTGTAATCAACTTTAAAATGTGCATTTGTAATTTGCTTTAAAAAAATAAGGTGTTAGACTAGGGATGATCATGGATTTGTCCAACCTACCTAACCTGACCCAACCAACCCAACCTAATTGATTTTGGATAGATGTGTGTCTTTCGACGAACGGATGTGGATGAAATATTTTAAAATTCACGAATACAGTTCAAATGGCGGATCAATTATACTGCACCTATATGAACTCGATCCACCCATAGATGGAGTTCAAAGAAAAAAAAAATTGCTAGCAAACAACCACATAGAGTAAAAATAATAAAATATATATTTTTGTGAAAATAAAAAAAAATACCTTAAAAATATGTATGCGTGGTGCCAAGGCCTATTATAAACAAATAATACATATTTTTTTATATTACTAGCTATTGGATATTGTAAAAGTTATAAATTATAATTCAAAAAAATGCCTTAAATTCGTAAAGTCTAAACTGTCAAATTGATCACATCTATCCGCCAACCTGCACAGTTCGCTCCATCCACATCTATTAAATCAATGAATAGATGTAAATTATTTTTTTCAATTTATTTAAATTTAAACATATGACAAATGAAATGCCACCCGATGGGCTATTGATGAAAAATAGAAACAAGTCATATCATAAACTTTTTTTCACAATATTACACATATCATCTCTCCTCTATATATACAAGAGGAAGCTAACTAACTAAACCAACTCTAACTAACTAACTAACTGAGGAAATATTCTCATGAGACAGCAACACAGGAATGTCACAATGAGGCCTCAGCTTAGCTCCTTGATCTCTTTGATCTATTGAGGTTAAACTTAAGCATGAGGTTGAACTTGAACTGGAACTGATATGTCAACATTCCCTCTCAAGCGAAGGGAAGGAGAAACCTCCATAAGTTTGTCCTTAAGATAGGAAAATCGAGAGATAGACAAGGGCTTGGTGAATATATCAGCAAGCTGATCAATAGTATGAACATAATGCAAAATAAGCTGTTTGGCAAGAACTTGATCGCGTACAAAATGACAATCGACCTCAATGTGTTTGGATCTTGAATGAAAGACAAGATTATATGCCAGAGCAATGGCAGAAACATTATTACACCAAAGCAGTGGCACAGTAGGAGAAGCAATACAAAAATCATGGAGAAGCATACCAAGCCAAACAAGTTCTGTACCAGTATGAGCCAAAGACCTGTACTCAGCTTCAGTGGAGGACCGAAAGACAATAGCCTGCTTCTTGGCAGACCAGGAGATGAGATTAGTCCCTAGAAACACTCAATAATTAGAGGTGGACTTTCTGTCAAGAACATCCCCAACCCAGTTAGAGTCTGAATAAGCATGAAGGTCAAAAGAACTAGGAATGTAGGTGAGGCCATGATGAAGAGTACCCTTAATAATCGAAGAACCCTTTTGACTGTAGAAAAATGAGCATTAGTAGGTTCCTGCATATGTTGACATGACTGAATGTCTGCAAAGGACAAGTCAGGTCTGGTAATTGTCAAGTATTGCAAAGCACCAACCACACTTCAATATAGAGTTGGATTGGCAGAAAGATTATCAAACGTAGGAGTCACAGCAGGCTTGACAGCAATGGGAGAAGAGCAAGGTTTACAATCCAGTATCCCAACTTTATGAAGAATGTCTTGAGCATATTTAGGTTGAGATAAAACATAACCAGAGGCTGAGGGCTCAACAAATATACCCAGAAAATAAGATATGGGATTAAGTTCTTTCATAGAAAACACTTGGTGCATTTGAGTGACAAGAGTCTGAATATGCTTAGTATCATTGCCAGTGATTAAGATGTCATCTGCATACACTAGAAATGCAGTAAAGGTAGATAATGTCTTTTGAATAAACAGAGAACAATCACACTTGCTGCTGATAAACCCTTGAGAAATTAGGAAGGAGGAAAAGGTTGAATACCAAGCTCTTGGAGTTTGCTTAAGTCCATACAAAGCCTTGTGAAGCTTACAAACATAATTGGACTAAGGAGAGGTCTCAAACCCTGGAGGTTGTAACATATAAACTTCCTCTTCAAGCACACCATGACGGCATTGGATATGTCTAACTGTTTGATAGGCCACTTATGATGTAAAGCAATGCATAAGAGAATACGAATAGTGAGAAGCTTGGCCACTAGGCTAAATGTTTTTTGGTAGTCAATGCCTTCTTGTTGAAGATATCCCTCAGCAACCAACCTTGTCTTATGCCTAGCAATAATGCCATCAAAGTTCTTCTTGATTCTAAACACCCATTTATAGCCTACAACAGTTTTGCCAGGACAAAGAGGAACAAGAGACCAAGTATGTTGTTTCTGCACAACCTGAAATTCTTCTAATATGGCCTGTTTCCATATGGGAAAAAGAATAGCTTCTTTGTGAAAGGAAGGCTCAGTAGTGAAATCAGAAGCAGAAGATGTTTTGATAGAAGAAAGTGCAGCAGCTTTTGATCTGGTAACCATGAGATGGAGATTTAAAGAAGGAACAAAAAGATGAGAGTAGTAGGAGAAAACAAAGGCAATTGAACAGAAAAAGATTGAATTGGAATAAAAGGTTGAAGAATAGGATAAACCAGAGGCAAAGAGATTGATTCAGCTGGCAAAGAGACTGACTTAGCTGGAGAGGAAATAGCAGATAGTGAAGAAGAAAGATTGGCAGCTAAAGGAGAAGAAGCAGGAACTGGAGAAGACCAAAAAAAGGACTTAGGCCAAGTTTGGCATCCTCCAAAAAATTCAAAAAGTCAAAAAGTCACTATCCTATTTAAGTCACATCATCTTATTTAAGTCACATCACCTCTCTAACACATCACTTCAAACCCAACTCAAATCCAACCCATATTTCATAAAAAGTCAAAAAGTGCACTTATTTAGTCTTCCCAAACTTGGCCTAAATCTGAGGTAAAAAAGAAATAGATGGAAGACAAGTAGAAGTAGGTGTGGACATAGAAGAAGGAAACACATGTTCATTAAACACAACATGTCTTGATAAGTAAATTTAACCAAAAAGGGGATCAAGACATCTATAACCTTTAGCAAAAGGATGATAGCCTAAAAGCACACATGCAATAGATTCAGGCTGTAACTTAGTAGAGGTATGGGGTTTTAACCAAGGAAAATACTAACAACCAAAGGTTTTTAGACGTGCAAAATCTGGAAGATGATAAAACAAAACTTCAAAAGAAGTTTTGTGACCCAACTTAGAAGAAGGCAATCTGTTAACCAGATAAGTAGCACAAGCAAGAGCATTAAACCAAACATGAAGAGGAACTGAAGAATGATGTAACAAGGCTATAGCAAATTCAGTGAGATATCCAT